AATGGAGCAAGAAAGGAATGAACAATGAATTTAATAATGATTATATTCATCACTACTTTTTAGTATATTGTACTATTATTTATATATCTAAATATAAAAACCCAGTTGAACATTTACAAAATTGACAATCATTTTGACATTGAAAATTGTTAATGTTCATTCCGTTATTACCTTTGTTGTATCTTTAACAATCTTTTTTTGTGTGTCAATCATTGTCAATGTTTATCTGTATAAATAATACTAATCATGACAAAGTATTATTAATCACTGCCTTTAAAATTTGTATGTAAATTACTCTTTTCACCAACTCAATCTCTTGTCATCCACAATTCTGACTCTTGGCTTTGTATTGATATTTAATTGTACACAATTGTGATAAATCTAGCGATCTATTTCTGTCCCGTTTCTATTAACCAAAAATAATAGATCAAGTAAGTCACAAAAACGTTGATTATTGAATCCGGTGCAACACATTTCCAATGAATTTTGAAAAAATCTCAATTTTTCCACTCTTTTTTTACCAATTCATTTTACTTTTATCAAGCCTTCAAGTCCATTAGCAAAACATTAATCATCGTTAAAATTATCATTGTTTTTCTTCCTTTTCTCCCTCAACAATTAATTATCATCATTCGAGTTTGTTTCTCAGTTGACAACCCATCAAATTAAATTGTAAGTTCAAATGTTATTCAGCTTTTCAAACATACTCAGTTCATCCATTAATTTACAGGCTTTTTCCTTCGCACTTCTCATTTCAAAAACTGAATAATTAGTTTAATTGTTGTTGTCATCCATACTGAAGGGAAATGCTGCGAGAGAAACGAAAAGTCAACGAAAGTAGCAACTTCAGCGTTTATGAAATGAATGCTTTAATTGCAGGAAAGTCAGAGATACTGCGAAGTCACTGATTGTCATTGTGCCTGTTACATCAATTTATGTAGACCGTATAACCTAAATAGCATAAAATCTCAATCAATGCAGGAAGATATTAGTGTCAGATTGAAAAACAATGAATAAATTGCAATACAATATTACAATGGCATTCAAAATATTGTTTAGTCAAACTAATGATTAATCGAAGTTTGTGTGGCAAAGAAAAAAAAGGCAAAATAAAATTGATTATCAAAAGTTACATGAGCGAAGACGAATATCGAGAAGCCGCCGAGTAATTAATCACTTAACCAGACAACCGAGTTTTCACCATTTTCATAAGCCATTACCAAGTTGATCTTTTTTAAATCTATGATTGTCTTGTATGTATTAGGTTTCAAAGTCAATAGTGACTATACAGTCGCCAAAAGAAATTTTGACATACTAGCTACAGTGATGTGCCAGATAATGGGAATAGGTGGAAATAGCTTATTTGCACTATTCGTCGGGCACTCGAATCTGTGATTCTCAATCTTGCTTAATAGATTAATTTCGTCTGAAATTATCATTGCTAGCTGCCTTCTCGAGTTTTTTGAATGATATTTCACGAAAAAAAATCAAATTAAGTTAATTAATAACTGAAAAAATCTAGAATGCCGGTGACAAACTTAA